TAAATAAACTGGCCCGGCCCGCTAGGGTGCTTACCCTGGCGAGCCGCGTGCCGAACGTTGCCGACCCCTGCTGTAGATAAATACACTACCACTAAGCATCACATAATACATGAATCATTAGAACACATATACTCAGAAGGAGTATGCAAACCTGATCTGTAGTTAACATTTGTTCTGAAATATGAGAAAATAAAACATAAGCTGCTTAACTGCACAAGTCTTTGTGTTTTGGACTTTTAATCAGGAACTTGCCACACAACATTCTGATGCAAAAGAAAAATCAAAAGTACTTCTGTTAAAAATGTCAAGCCAATAAACTTCTATATTATCATAATTACACACGAGTCACTTTATGCAAGTAAACTCATTAAATTCAGTTGTTATAGTGATAACATTTACATAAATACAAACACCAATAGTTTATTAAGCATAACAGTGACCTCATTTAGTGTGGCAATACTGAAAAACCTTACTTCCATAAGTAATCCTTAAAGTCATTGGGAGTATTTACATCAGTAAGGGTGTGTGTGTGACAGATTTGCCTTTTCTTGTTATTTTTGAGCCAGGGCCTGCAGTCCTTATTCAGGCAAAACTCATAAGGAGTTTCCCACACGTTGATGGGATCTTTTACTGAGTAGATACAGTAGAATCAGGCCCTAGAAACACTCATGCACATGAGTGGAACCCCATATTCAGGAAAAATTCCCATTAAAGTGTGAGAAATTCAGTGCCATTTTGCCTGAGAAAAGACTTCAGAATCTGGCCCAACAATAACAAAGGGCTAAATCTTGCTTTCCTTACTCATGCCACTTATCCCACTGATTTTAAAGCTTGCTCAGTGAATAAGGTTTTGAAGGAATAGGCTGCTAAAGGGATGACTAATATGCCTAATAGTAAAAAAGTGGAAATGTGTGTGACTGTAGTTAATTGTTCTGAATTATACAATGAGATTCAAACTAGTGGTGTAATACAGGGGAGTATTTAGAATTTTACATTCCTGAAAATTGTCATTTTATTTGAATTTATTTGTAAAGGTCTCTTTTTTACACATATTATAACTAATTGGAAAGCTTCCTGTAGTATTTTAACTAAATCCAATACTGCACTTTTTAAATAAATAACAATTAAAATAGCCGCCTCTTTCAGGAAAAATTGGGAATCCTATAAGATTCTATTAAGAGCTGTTGCTCTTATTTTGTCTGCACACTAATCATCTTAAAAAACTTTAGTTACAACCTGTAAAACAGTATAGTCTGTTTTATGGATTTCTCTGCCTTAATATTTGCAGGCTATAACCAGTGTTAGTTTTTCATGGAAACTAGACTGAACAAAACCCTGGGAAATATCCTGCAGGGGCAGGGGCTGACCAAACAGTCTTTTCTCATCTCTGACTTCTGTGATATGGGAAACAGATGAGATTTGCTTTGCAATTCTGTAAATGTCACCTGCTTTTTCAGATTTGGGAACAAAGATGGAGAAAGATCTTAAAGGACTGTCCAAGGAACCTGCAAAAGTGAGTGGAATATTAGAGGGATCATTGAACCAACTACTACAAAGGCCTTAGGTGCTCGAGGTAGGGTGGCTTAGGCTACCTGTGTGATCTGGCCCTAGTGCAGGGGTCACTGTTTCTCCTCACTCAGACATACACAAACACACACACTTTTCCTGAGACTGAGAAAGTCCCACCACTCTTCATTTAAGTTTCATGTTAACATTTATTTCTTAAAACACCCTCCAATAAGCTGGCGAATTTCACTAGTAAAGTTCTCAGGGCAGTACCTGCCCAGGAAAGAACTTGACCCAGGTGCTGGTGACTCAGCCCTTCCCTTGGGGGAGGGAAACAGACATGTCCTTGGGACTCCACCTTGCGCCACAGCTATCTCTTGGGGGAACCTCTTATGGACCCTTCCCCTGACCCCAGCTCCCTGGAGATGCTCTCAGGGCCCAGCCCCTTCCCCTAGGGCGCACCCTACCGGCACCATGGAGTAGGTCATCATCATGAGCAGCTCGTCGTTCTCGGCCCGAACGTGGCCCCTGGCGCCCGCTCCGCGGTGGCTCCTCTTGTGCCGGGCGGCTCCTGGGGCCGCTGCCCCCGGGGCGGTGGGGCCCAAGAGGGACCGCAGGATGCTGTCAGTGTCTCCCCCCTGGGGCCGCGCAGCCTCCAGCTCCCGCAGCGCCGCGCTCAGCTCCCTCCACTGGCCCAGCAGGAAGAGCGTCCCCGCGGCGCTGAGCGCCGAGAGCAGCCCCACTGCGGCCAGCAAGCAGCGCAGCGCCCGGCCGCCGTCCCCCGGCATCCCCGGCCCGGAGGCGCGCTCGGGCAGGATCCTGCGAGGTCGAGCGGCTGCGGCTCCCCGGCGCTAGCGGGCAGGCGGGGGCGGAGCGGCGCTGCGGCCAGGGGACTCGCTGGCTTCGGCTCCGGGACGGGCTTTATGGCCCCGGGCACCGTGGGCTGCTTCCACCGCCAGCCACAGAGCCGCCCGGGGTGACGAGGCGGAATGAATGGGAGAGGCGGGCGCCGCGGGGACGGGGACCAAGGGGCAGGGACACGGGGGACCTGGCACCGGGGCAGTGCGAGGGACCTGGGGGCAGGGACACGGGGGACCTGGCCCGGGGCAGTGCGAGGGACCTGGGGGCAGGGAGACGGGGGACTTGGCCCGGGGTAGGGCAAGGGGGACCTGGTCCTGGACAGGGCGAGGGACATGGGGGCAGGGATACGGGGGACCTGGCCCAGGGCAGGGCAAGGGACACTGTGGCAGGGCCACGGGGGACCTGGCCCAGGGCAGGGCGAGGGACATGGGGGCAGGGACATGGGGGACCTGGCCCGGGGCAGGGCGAGGGGCATGGGGGCAGGGAGACGGGGGACCTGGCACCGGGGCAGGGCGAGGGACCTGGGGGCAGGGACATGGGGGACCTGGCCTGGGGCAGGGCGAGGGACACGGGGGCACAGGGGGCAAGGACACGGGGTAGGGGGGACAAGGACACAGGGGATCTGGTATATAGACGGGGCAGGGGACAAGGAGGAGGGACAGGTTTCTGGCACACAGGGGATCAGGACGCAGGATCCGAAAGAGCGGTTCCAGGCACACTAGGGTCCAAGGCCCAGGGGATAAGGCAAGTACAGGCACACAGGCGTGGAGGGTCAGCGACGGAGAAGTGAGTATAAGGGTCGGAAGAGGACAGTGGCAGGGATACAGCTGAGTTGACAAGGGTCAGTGAATCAGGCATAGGGGTTAGAGGTATGGGGTACAGAGAAACGTGGATGCAGCTGGGAGATGAAGGAGAACAGGTACCAGAGTATGGGACAGAGCCTCAGGGCAAATACAATCAGAGATTGGGGCAGGGAGCAGCAGCATGGGACAAGGTTAAGGGAATGAGGATGATGGAAAAAGATGTGGAAGCAGGGCCGCCCAGAGGGGTGGGGCAAGTGGGGCAATTTGCCCCAGGCCCCCAGGGGCCCCCACGAGAATATAGTATTCTATAGTATTGCAACTTTTTTTTATGGAAGGGGCCCCTGAAATTGCTTTGCCCCAGGCCCCCTGAATCCTCTGGGCAGCCCTGTGTGGAAGATGGGCACAGTGCCAAGGGATAGGGAAAGAGGGGCAGAGGATCTAGGTTAGGACACTCATTACAACCTCTGGCTGAAATATTCATAGTGGGCATGTAAAATTATGAACCCAAAATCCCTATTTACATTGATTTGCTTAGGTACCTAAAGTTAAGCATCCCCTTTGAAATTGTTTGCCTTGACCTTTGCCCCTGAAAATTGAAATTAGGTCAGGATATTGTTATGGGAACTTGCAGGACAGCCAAGGGGAAGACAACCTTTACTCCTTGTTGCCTCCAACCATGATAGACATTTAGGTGCTTAAGTAGACATCACTACTTCCACTGTCTGAGGTACTACTGTGCTTCTGGCCATATTATAAGGATAGCTGTATTACATCCCATTTTGCTGCTTGTTAAAATGATTCCTGTATATCTACAATATAATTTTGTAATTTAGAAAGCAACTTGATGTTTTCAAAAGGTACCATTTAATTCACTATTTACCATTTAAATAGTGTTATGGCTGTAGAACTGGGCACACCTCCAAAAGTCTTATGTGAATTAACATTTTATGATCATCAATGAATTATTTTACCCCAATGTGCTGTGTGGGAGATATGAACCGAATTCTGTTCCCAGTTACCAATGTAAATCCCAGAGTACCTCCATAGAAATCAATGGTGTAACTCAGGATTTATCAATGGTGTAAATTAGAGCAGAATTTGGTCCATAAATGTTACAATTTTCTTACAAATCTCCAAGAGACCCTAACCCTTGAAAGAAGGGTTAAAACATCTAATTACTAAAGAAAAAATGTGTGTATGTATAAACACACGAGAGCGCACACAGAAATTCAAGGTCAATGCCAAAGTCACTGCTTTTTCCCCTGTAACAACTATGCAGGTTAACCCTTCTTAAGAGTTTGCAAGCTTTTGGAGGTTTGTAAGACAATTTACGAGCCGAATTCACTTTCATTTACACTCCATTGATTTCAGTGGCATTACTCCAAATTTACATCAATGTACCTGCAAGCCGAATTTGGCTATATCACACCCAGAGAGCACAAAGATTAAAATAATTAATGGATGGTTATAAAATGTTAATTTATAGTCATAACTGATGGGCTGGAAAAATTTCCCCTCCCACTTTCTGATTAGAGAACAACCATAGCAGAGACTACCCAGAGCATTCACCCCAGATTTTATACCAAGCCTTGTGCTTGCTTTGCCAGGGCACTGGAAGTTTAGCTAGTATTGTGTGGATAATCTTGCCATGCAGGAATATTAAGTAAAGTTAATTGATTATGTATTAGGTTACAGCCTGGAAATGGGCAGAGGTGAGGTTATAGATCCAAAGCTGGAATGTTTGGTTCAAAACCAAATCAGGGCTTAGGGTTTGATGATGCTGAAACCTGTAAGCTGTTCTTTAAATCAACTGATCTTAAGAACTTTCCACCATTTTAAATGGGAGAAACCTCACAAGAGGGGTTCCATATTCTTGGGCAGAAATCTTATCATAATGGACATTTTCTGGAAATTTCAGCCACCTCTCAACCAGAACCAGAAAGCTGCAGCTTCAGATCTGACCTAGAATTTGAAACAACCCTCAAATGCCTCTGATTTTGGCTTCTCTCTACTAAAGGCAGTTCTGATCCAAAACATTTCACATATTGTAAAGGAGCCAAGTTGGGGAGGGGGGTAGGGACAAAAATACAGCTCCACCGTACTAAAGCCTCAATATGTATTAAAAGATCCAACATGAAAAACAGTTGGCCACTTCAAAAGTTAAGTTAAAGAATACAAAAGCAGGGATAATTTCCTAAATTCATTGTTCACATATGTGAGTATATGAACCTTGTAGGCAGGGTGGGGGCAAAGGAACTTAACTGAGGTCCTGAGTGATGAAATTTCCATTGGCTTCAGTGGGAGCAGGGATGGATCCTGGGTCTTGTTTACTTGACCATTAGGATGACTTTTTAATGTGGCTCTTTTATATAGCTGTTGCTCCTTCTACGTTAGCTACAGTAGACTAGTTTAGAATTTACATTAGTAATAGTGGCTTATTATATCTATCTGAATATCCACCTGTCTATACCAGGGTCATGTCCACAGTGTCCAGGCAGCTTTCAAAAAAGTACTTAAAAATGAGGTCTTCTGTTTCTCTTCCTCCCCTTTCCCAATTAGCAGGAGTTTGCCACCTTCTCTCTCTCTCCTCATTCCACACCCATCTCTAAGTGAAAGCTAAGACAAAGAATGAGACTTACATTTCATTCTGAAGGCAGAGAGCTTCAGGATCATACTGCTCTCTTTCATGAGTGAATTCCATAGACAAGGACCTGATGCCAAGAAGGCTCCATATCCCAAGCTTACAAATCCACTCTTGTGCTTGTCAATTCTGTTGTTCCATGGAACACAGCTGTTGTAGGATGCTGTGATCATGAAGAGGGAGGCAGTCTTGCAAGTAGCTCAGACATATTTCTGGTAGCTTGAAAAATGCCTTTTATACCTATTTAGAAAGTAGATTTGGAAAATCTGTTTCAATATATTGTGTAAATCCCTTCTACTTTATGGATTGTGGACCAGTTACACTATCACAAATCCTTCCATTAGGCTCATGATGTGTCAGACAACCACATTAAATCCCCCCCTTTTTTTTGAGCCTCCTCCATCCCCCAAAATGTGTCAGGATTCCACACACCTCAAATTAGCTGATTTTATTTTTTAAGAGAACCCACATGTACAATATACAGTAAACTGTGCAAAATGTCAGGATAGAAGGAAAACTGCAGCCACAGACGCTAAATCTCTTCACACCTCTTTGGGGGAGAGTGGCAGTAGAAACATGAACAAAAGACATAACAATAAGGACAATCATTAAAATTTCGATCACGTTATGATACAGTATTGTCTGAGCTCCCGCAAGGCCGCCGCAGATAAACCATTAATGATGTCATTGTACAGATAATGTCATGTGCAGCAGATAGCTTTTTGTGGAAGGAATGAATGGAGTCTCAGAGTGTCTTCTGATGGTAGAATGTAAAATAGTGACATTCACGGCAACCATGACCAAAAAAAACCTAAGTGAAGCCATTCAACTTGAATTAACTACACTGAAATTATCGTAAGATTTTATTTACATTTGAATAGTTTTTTGTGATAATGAAGATAGCAAGTAGACTTGTTTACTCTGTCAACTGATAGCCTCACCGATTATAAAAATGTACAGCTGAGCTTTATTTTGCTTATGGCATTAACCTTGTGAAAAAGACAATACAACCATGAATGAAAATACATAAAACAGACCCTGTCCTAAAGAAACATAATTTATAATTACATTGATGCAATAAAACCACTAAACATCCATCATAACAGCAAACTAAAACCTGTCTCCTTTTAAGGACATAAATGGCCCTACGTGGAACTGCACTCCAGAGATTGTATAATGTAACGTGCAATGCTTCTTCATCTTTTATTGTCCATTTCAGAGTACAATGACTGACTAAAGAGCATAATAATCACGAGCCACTATTTGGAGAATAGTGGAAGTGATACAGCATTCTGTTTATCCATCTGTCCAATCTTGAAGGGGATTTGGGTTTTATCTTTATTATGGTTAAACACTGGGGTACATCCTGCTCCCTGTGAACATCCCAAGTAAGGCTATGAGCAAGGAAATTCCTTGCTTGTCAGAGGTGCTGAATCTTCCCCTTCAGTCCCAGGCCACAAGGCTGCATTGGATCTGTTCCACA